AAAGTCTGTCTCAAGGTTATGCTGTGTGCGATGAGGCTGGGTCGAGATTTAATTGGCTTACTTGGCTTTATCGTCTCCACGCTTTGTTCGTGGAGCTCTTCATCATCACATCATCACATTACTATGAACTGTCGAGGAAGACTTCAGTACGTATAGCAGGGTATTGTAAGTGGCACTAAGTAACTTAACATGGCAATTACAGGCAAATGAAAAACCCTCTCTCACTTCGAATGTAAAGGATAACCTTACAGCTGATATGATATGATGTTACCCATTTTAAAAAATGCTTCCTGTTATGGGAGTCTTCAGAGTCATGCGCTTTCATTACATGCAGATATTACGTATATATTCGTATATTCTTAGCTGACATTTTTTGAACGTGAGCTCGGAGATTTGAACGAGGTAAATGCCGCTGCTCGTGAGTGCATGACTCATGAATTTAAATAATGATGGAAGAAACGTCACAGCGACATGAGGCACGTTCGTCTGTCAGTCAGGGAGATGCTGGTGCGTCTCTTTTGAGGAGCAAAAAGCCTCCCAGGTGGTACATTTGAATTATCAGCCATCTCATTGCTGTTTGATTGATGCCAAGTTCATCATTCCTGTGGTCTGCTATATTACATTAGGCTCTTAATTAGGAGTCTACATCCACCACTATACTGAGCTGTAAAATCCAGAACCAAAGAACCAGAAGTGTCAGTTTTGCTCTCAAAATTATTCGCCTAATATCACAGCTCTGTTTTTATTGATCACCAACATCGGAAAGGAAATCAAATCATTTTTATGATTAATTAGAGCCAATAAATACAGATCGGATTTGGATGGTCTGATAGCAAAACCCTGTTTCAAAGCACATGTTTGTCTTAAAAAAGATTGTAGTAATTGCTTGACATTAATTAGAAGAATGGATGTTGTGCAGAGAATAACCTGCAGCCTTCAAGGATGTTTTTATAAAATAGAGAAGAGTCTGGTTCATGCGCATACAAACAAATCCTATTTGTGCACTCTTTCTAATGTAAAACAGTGGCTGTTCCATGGTATTAATACTAACAAGCGCTTGCATAATCAAGTAATTATACAACACAAATAATGAGTGTCTCACCTGACATTTGTGGAGCAGTGCAGCAGGTGTAAAACCTCTGTTCCTGTCGTGTGACTTGTGAAACCTCTTCAGAGGTAGAGTTGTGTTTGGAATATTAATCGCAGGGTTTTTTTTGCATTTCTCCAAAAGCAAGTGTGTTTTGTGAGTGTATGAGAGGAACATCTGTTAACACGACTTTAATAAGATCAGGGCCCTACAAGGCTTCGACCAAACCCACAGTGGTACTTAGCTGGGTTGTTGGGAATTCTTTTCTCTCAGCTCCAAAGCTCAATAAACAAGCAGTGGATAAACAATTTATGTTGATTCAATTTATGAGGTGACCTAATGTTTTTTTTTTTAGCTCTTCTTCTACTTCTTCTGTTTTTGCACAACAAGCCTTGCTCCTGAGTAATATCCTGACATTTCTGTGCTGCAGTTGCCTGAACTGAATATTTCACAGCGGCCTCTGTAGAGGGAGTGACACTGTTGTTATGCAGATAGCTGCACCGTTCCAGCAACAGCGAATACATTACAAAGGATTTCTTTCTTTTTTCCCCCCCTGTCATTCTCTCTCTTTTCTCTCTCTCTCTCTTTTTTTTACAATCTGCATGAAAGCAGCTTGAGGTGTTGAAACACTCTCAGAAAGCTGCCCTAAGAGCAGAGTTCATACACTGCAGGGTGAATAGTCTTAGAAGATCTGCTGTCAGTTACACATCAGAGTGGAAAAGTGCTATTAGCAAAACTTCTGGAAACATAACAGGTGAAACACACAAGCACTGATTTAGTTCTATAACTTAGAATTGTAAGAAAGAAAACCCCTGACAACTCCAGTCACTTTCCTTCACACAGCACTGTCACATTTTTCTGTACCGGTACATCTACTCAGCAATATTGTTGTTGGGCATGAATTTGGAAGATGTGTAGTGTTTTGTGGAACTCTTTAAAATCTGACAAACTACTCTTCTTTGAGTTATAATATATATAAGTTCAAACATGGCAATTATATTGTGTGAACTGTTAGCAGTCATAGTTTGCAGACATTTCAATGTGTGTGGCAACTCTGGTCAGTTGCTGAATATCAGGCAGGAAGATACACTTCTTTTCTGGTTTCATCTTCTACTCACCGATTAGATGTTTTCAACTTTTCATGAAAAACAAGAACTTCCATTTTTATCGAAATGCATTGAATTTTTAATTTGTTTACCTTGTGCATCTAAATAAGAGCACGCCAGAGTTCTCAATAACAATAAAAGCTGTATGCATATTTTGTCATGTAGCTAGGAGGAGTAGGAGTTAAGCTAAGAAACAAATCTGGTTTACTACATATACAAATATACTGGTTTTATTTGATTTAAATATTCTTAGTTTGCAACACATAATTCCCCCGATCCATCACAGAGGTGATTCTGAAGTCATTGTTGTTCCTCTCATATTCCTCTTTTTTTCTCAGCTGTGCCTACTCGATATTTAATGTGAACTTAAAATGACTTAATGTGAACTTGACTTGCCAAATAAGGAGAAAGGGCTCAACAGGGGGCATTTCAACACCAATCAGGGGCACATCTGTGGTTTTTCTTGTGAAACTCTTGTGTTGTGTGCATTTTCTATGCGGCTTTATGAGCAAAGAATGAAGGGATTTTTGCAACAAGCAAACCAATTTACCGACAAAGTTTCTCTTTTAAAATCAAGCTGAATAAGTGTGCTTGATGTGACAATGAGAATTGTGGAGGTGGCTTTATCCACTGTATATGTGACTGGCTGACAGCTGAATGCTGTGTTGCTGGAAGCCCAGGACTTACATGGATTGCTCTTGCTGCAGATACACGCACCCAACACTTTATTAGGAAAAGCTTCCTAGTACTGGATTATACTTCCTTTTGTCTTCAGATCTGCTGTAAGTCTTTGTGACAGATTCAATGAGGTACTGGAAACAGTCCTCAGGGATTTTGGTCCATATTGACATGATGCTGCAGATTTGTCAGCTGCACATCCCACAGGTAGATAGGTGGATTGAGATCGGTTTACTATATACATATCATATTCATATGATATATATATCATATTCAAGGAAGCAGTTTGATATTATTAGAGGGTTTTTTTTTTTTTTATCATGGTGCATTATCCTGCTGGAAGAAGCCACCAGAACATGGACATACCTTTGTTGTAGTGGTTATGTGAGTTACTGTTTCTGTCCCATTAGCTCAAACCAGTGTGGCCATTCTCCTCTGACCTCTGTCATCAAAAAGGTATTTTTTCCTGCCAATTACTGAGTATTTTCTCTTTTTTGGATCTCTTTAAACCCTGGAGATGGTTGTGCAAGAAAATCCCAGTCCATCATCAGTTTTGAAATACTCTGTCGAGCCTGTCTGGCACCAGAAACCATGCCATGTTTAACGTCACTTAAATAATATTTCAACATCCTGATGTACAGTTTGAACTGCATATCAGAATTCACCCATTCAGTCCATAATACCATACACAAATCCAGCCTACTATGTGTGTTCATTTTTGATTAATTGTCCAAAAACTGCACAATAACGTAAACCAATGTTAAATTAAGCATTTATCTTATAAATTCAGTGTATGAGTTTCAAGCCTGCTTTCAAGCTGAGTTACAAAGAGCTAAATTTCTCTATATAAATCTTAAATAAAATAGTTAAGTAAGCTAGTGTAACTGTTAACACGTGAAAGATCCCTGGTTTGAAACTGGGCATGGTTGTAGAAGGACATCTGGTGTAAAAGTCTGCCAAATAAAATATGCAGACATTATGGGAGCGTAAAGCTAAATATATCACAGATGTGTGTCAAAGCTTGTAAAAAACTTTGTTCAACCGATTTACAGGACCGAAAATCTGTAGTGGCTGGATTAAACAGTGATAACATTATAATTGATACCCGTATCTCAGTAAAGCAATTGCATGTACCCCAAAACTGTTGTCAAAAATGTAATGAAAACTTAAAAAGAAAAAAAAAACACAACTTAAACTTCTGTGAATTATCAGTGGTTGCTGATGGAATTTCAGCCTTGGTGTGGCATTGGTGGTTCTTTCTGTAATCAGAGCAGCTGATGGATGGTGGCAGAAGTGCAGCTCAAGGAGACAGTGCAGGGCAATGCCATCTTTTACTGTTTCCCCACGCTGTCACAAAAAGTGTTCCGTCTGATCTGTGTGCACGCATGCACGCTCAGTAAAAATGCACACTCTGCTCTCATTGCTGTAGCTGCTTGTTTACATAATTTTTATTTCTAGAGATTCTTCTACCTCTCACCTTGCCTGCCTACACAAACACATAACCACACACAAATGCATTTATGCCTACACAAGCTTTGTGGAAAAACCTGGGCTAAATTCAGATATCGTGTGCCATGAATGGATGTGGAATAATCACATAACACTGGAGGAACTTTTCTTGATGATGCTTTGATTTTAGACATCGTTAACTTCTTTGTTTTTTAATTTTTTTTGTTCATTTATTCTTACATGACAAGGAGATAAGCACAGCTGTAATAAGAAGCATCTTCATCCAATCCCTACAGTGTATATAAATTATTTGTATACCCTCTCCTATATCTATAGTCCAGATAAGACAAAACTAAGTTGTGTTCAAGCTATCAAAAATCAGCTAGGCTGTCCTTGAGGCCCGTCATGAAGTAGAAACAAACAGTGACAAATAGAAGACAGTTCACTGAGCTCCAAAAGACTTCATCAGTCTTGATTTTTTTCAGGCCTCCCCCAAACATCAAAACCTCAGAAAAAAAGTGGTTCTCTACATTAAAAAATCCATTGCGCCGGTGTTTTACGAAGTGGTAAAAAAAACCTTTTAAGGTATGAAATAATTATGAAATCTTCCTTCTTGCTCTTCATCCATCTATTCCTCTTTAAACTCTTCCCTCCTGTCCTCCTACCATCACCCCCTCCAGTCTCAACCCGTACAGCTATGATGAGAGCTGTGTGTCCAGCAGCGTAGACCACCTGCCTCTTGCTGCCCTTCCCCTCCTCGCCATTGTCTCTCCACGTTACCAGGATGCTGTGGCGACCATCATTGACCGGGCCAACCAAGTCTATCGCAGTTTCTTGCAGTCAGAAGACGGTCAAGGGTTCAGCGGTCAGGTCTGTAGTGCCTTCTTCTATTTAGAAAAGCGTTGAGAGGCGAGGGGAACTGCTACTCTCTTGTCTCTCATCATTTAGTAATGGGCTTTAGGCCATTTAATGGAAGTCAATGGAGCAAAGATTGCTTTTGAGTGGGCTTTCTAATGTGTGGAAACTGTGGGTGCTCAGACCCTCAGAGAGCACCAGATCTTGAATGTTTATTGGACCACATTTCCTCTTTTAGTTCTACATAACAACTTACAAGGCTCTTAGTCATGGGCTGTATCTCATAATGGGGAAATAATCTGTGAGAATGCTGTTCACAGTGGACCTGAATTCACACACTGGATTTGGGCCCTTAAATGCCAAATATGTGAACTATTTTAAATGTAGTTACAATTCGGTTCTTCAAGCACTATGTGGTAAAAAATTGAAAATGCTCAGGACTTTATGGTGCATGACAAATAGTAAATACATGTAGCTAATGGGCAATGCCATCTACATTAACAGTCAGTATCCTCAAAACAGTGCAAGGACCATTATGATAAAGATAGTGATGTCAGTGCCTGTTAATCTTTGATTTGTGTGTGTGTGTGTCAATACTGTATGCTGTATGCTTGTTGATGTTGTGTTTAAGCTCATAATTTATTCTACTCCTGCTTTATGTCTAAAACTGCCCGGCATCCTTTCTCAGCATTTTCTCTCCTAGTAATTACTATTGTTGTAATTACCAAGTTCCAACACTGCATATTTTTAACATCATTAGACTGATGCGAAAATAAAATAATATAAATTGATGTGTTCAGTTTAATTCTGCAGACTAATTGCAATGTCTTCAACTCCAAAAGACACTGAAAACAAGCATTGGTAAAACTGATGTATTCAGTGATACAGAAGGAAAGTGCAAGGATATTTGTGTGACAAGTATTACTGCTTGCTGCTGAGCCAGATGCTACTTTTGTAGTCACAGAATTGCCTAAATACTGGTTAATTGACAAGAAAAAAAAGACGTATTACCTAAACTCACACAAAAAACAAAACAAAAAGAAAAACAAATTCAAAGTGTGTCCAGATTTTTGACTGGGAGTACATAAACTAACCAATTTGCTGACAAAAGGACTTCATGGCAGCCCGATTAGCAAAAACCTATTTATTGGCAGACAGATCCTAAAATACAAGACCAAAGGCAGACTAACAGAAACTGAATTCAAAAAATAATACAGAGAGATGCAAATAAACCCTAAGATAATAATGGAGGAGGATAAGCCTACATGTACATATGAGGTAATCAGAGAACAGGAAACAGGAGGGCGATGAGAGTCAGCCAAGCTTAATCTAGACAGTGAAGCAAGTGAGGTTGTGAACTCAAAACAAGACACAACTAACCAGAGACAACTATGCAAGAAAGTAAAGCAGGAAATGAAAGACTAGCAGAACTGAAACAAACTAATGTAACTGGAGACATTCTAGTTGTCCAAATTCCCAATATACCTGAGTGAGAATTATAACTTGGAGGGGCCTCTAATTATTGCATAAACTGTATCTTTGAGAATGCTTTTCTTGGAAATGTTTTCTCCATAAAAAATATTTGGGCAATGCAATACCCAAGGGAAATTGAGGAGTTGCTCACAGAAGTGAAACAGCTGCAGAATAATGCTGTACAGCAACTTTTTAAAATTTTCATTTTATTAGCTTTTACCTGCTATTTTTTATCATAACAACATTTATTATTGCTGTCCACTGATAAATGTACTACATAATTACAAAACACTAAAATTCCTTGCATACTAACTTTTACTAATGGCATACTGTGGCAGTTATTTTGTGGTACCTACAATATTCTGTTTGCATACAATAAGAAACTAAGACAAAGTCAGCGTCATGCCCTCTAGTTCCAGTAACATATGTTGTTTTCTAAATTCATTGCTCCAGTTCTACTATCACTGAGTGAATCTCATGTAGTGGGTCTCTATATCATATATTTTCTGTGCAGGTTTGCCTGATGGGCGACTGTGTGGGTGGTGTTCTGTGCTTTGACGCCTTGTGCTTCAGCAACCACCAGAGGCCTGGCAGCCCCAACAACAGCAGCAGGAACAATAGCACTGAGAGCCTGAAGGTAGGGACACAGACACTGATGATGCAGAGGGAAGACTATTACCGTCTAATGAAACAAAACACTTTCTGGACATGTATGATAATAAACATCAAAATTACATACCTGTGTTTTCCTGGGCCTTCGTCATACATTTGGGTCACAATTTGTACTCCATGCTGGATTTCAAGGAGATCTGAATATTCCTGAGGACTAGAGTTCCTGCAGTGTACATGTAACATATTCATCATGACATTTGTGCTGAACTGCCATCCTGAAGCAGCTTGTTATTTCCCTGTTCTACGCCTTGCATGATCCCAGCCTTGTACTCCCTCCCTCCTCTCAGCCCTATTTTTCCATTAAGATCCCCTCACATCTAATAGACTCACTCTTGCAGACAGTTTTCTCCTCCTCCATTTAACTGTTCACCTGGGAAAACAGATCAAGTCCCATCATGTTATGTGTAATTTCTGGGGTGTAACCACTGTCGTGACTTGAGGTCTTATAGTAGGTTGCATGTTTTTCTCAGGATAACTCAGGCCTGCTGGGGGAGTCCAGCTCGGGTTTGAGCTCTAGCAAGAGGCTGAGCAAAAGCAACATTGACATCTCCGCTCCCAACGAAGGCCAGGGCGGCCCACCACTCAGCCGTAAACAGAGCGACTCTTATGATGGAGACACCTCGTCCACTGGCCAGCACAGCTTTTTCTCCAGGTGAAACAGGATAAAAGAACTTAACCCACAACTAAAGAAATTAAGTGTCTTTAATAAAGTGAAACCAAGTGTTTTTTTAAGATAGTATCTATTGGTATTAGATTGTGGGTAATGTTGAAAATGGACAGGCCCTTTTTGACTTGCTGTTTTCTTTTGCATCATTTTTTCTATCCATTAGCCATTTAATCCCTAGTTTTCTTTATTTGTTTTCATAACATTCATCAATATTGTGATATTAAAAATAATACACCATAAAAGATGATTTTATTCATTGTTCAACATCTGTATCTGCTGGGCAGCCATTGTTGATCAGCAATGTTACAGCTTTATATGATGAACCAGATGTTGTGTGCTGGCCCTCTTCCAGGTTTGTCTGGAATACTTTGCCCTGTGTCACCCCTGTTCTGTATCAATATTTACAGCTTGACTGCACATCCTCTCTACCTGTCTATAGTCTGCTGGACTATAAATAGCCTGTTTGTACCTCTGCCAGCCAGTTTGTGATGGAGACTGAGAACTGCGGGTGAATATGACTGGGGCCTGAAGGGGGAACGACTGCCATGTCGACTTAGTTCAAGCAACCAGTGTTCCCATTGCATATCACATGCTCTACTAGGCTTACACCATTAAGCAGACACACTTAAAATAGGATCTCATCAATTCACAGTTATGCCACATAGTTCACATCAATGCCCCTTCTCACTTTTTGCTTCTACACTCCTGATTAAGCTCCTCGCCTGGATCTGCCTTTTTTTCCCCTACAGTCATCATGAGGGCTTATTAAATCTCCTCTTGCATGGACATTATTCCTCAATTGAGAATTGCCCTTTTGATGGCTCTCACCCTGTAGTTTGCAATATTCCAGACTAAAAATTGCCCTTGAGATAATGCACAAATGATCACGACATTTCTCACGTGGAAATCCAGGGGGGTGTGCTATGCTTACCATTCATTTTACCATAGATGTCTCTGTTTGTTTGGATCAGTTTCAATGATATGTAGACAGACACAATTTCCAACAAAAAAGCACCAAAACACATTGTTAACATATGTAAATCTTATTTATTCAAACTACTCAGAAAAAGATGAGATTATGTGAAGATTGCTTGGAGAATGGCTGGCTAGCCCATCACAGAATCAGAGGTGCTTTAGCTTGATGTGGAGGCATCAGTGTCAGATCTGTTTAGTACAGTAATGACACAGCATGCGTTCATTACTCATTAGGTCTCATAAAATGTCAACCATTCACACAAAAACACCACCACAAATGTGATGTGTGTCAGATTTATCTTAAAAAAAATAATGGGACAGCCACTAAACAACAAAAACAATGTTTCACTTCCTATAAAAACAGGGCCAAATAACACTCATTGAGCTATAGCACACTCCAGCATCTTATGGACAGCAGAAATAAATTTAACATGAAAATGTATTTAAACAATATATATTCAGTGTTTTAGTCATCCAAATCCCAAGGGTACCTCTACTGTGTAAACAATTCTCAATGAATCACACACAAACAAGAGTGCTTTCTTTTAATTTTCAGGAATTATTTTCTGTAGCAATGAATTTTCTTGCAAACAAAGACAAAGTGAAGATGTGGATGTGGTGTAGTTCACTAATGTGTGTGCAGAAATGTTAGAAATTCGCACAAAACGTTTCAATGAATTTGCACGTTTCATCTTTAGGCCCACTGATCATTGAAATCTCTTTGCAAACTGCCACACTCCATCTCTTACGTTTGCCTAGAGTTGTAACATGGATTCAATTCAATTCAGTTTTATTTATACAGCACCACATCACAACAACAATCGCCTCAAGGCGCTTTATATTGTAAGGCCGACCTTACGATAATACATACAGACAAAAACCCAACATTCATATGACCCCTTATCAACAAGCACTTTGGCAACAGTGGGAAGGAAAAATTCCCTTCTAACGGGAAGAAACCTCCAGCAGGACCAGGCTCAGGGAGGGACGGCCATCTGACGCGACTGGTTGCTGGTGAGGGGAGGAAGAATAAAAGCAATAAACTCACTGCACATGGCAAACAATTTGAATGGAAGTCATGATATCCAGCAAGTATGGCTATTAATTAGTTTTTCAGTACCATTAATTATTTTACAGATTTTTAGGATATGCAGTAATATAGAGTTCATTTCGCTGAGTGATGCATTTACATTTAAGACGGGCATGCTTTGTGTCCAGATGTTTGCAAGGCAGTTTGAATTTATATTAGCAAATTCAGGTAAATACAGATTTGTGTGTATTGTTTGTGAGTGTGTGTGTGTGTGTGTGTGTGTGTGTGTGTGTGTGTGTGTGTGTGTGTGTGTGTGTGTGTGTGTGTGTGTGT